GAGCTCCCACCATCAGAAATCCAAATCTGCCTCTCCTCAGCAGAAGCCTTCATCCAAATCTCCTTCCCCTCAGCATTCTGCAGCCTCCACTCAGAGAAGAGAGCCAGTTGTAAGGATTCTTTCCTCAACTGAAGATAATGATGGATTCCTTCCATCCTCATTGGCTGGAGATCTTCAATCAGCCAGAAGGAAGACCCCTACACCTCCTCCATCTCCCGTTCAACCTCAACCTCAGGCCAATGAATTGCCTCAGCCAGAACTTCCAAAAGCTGTCCTCATCCCCTTTCAGGAGTTTGTGGAATCAGCTGAAGACTTTGGAGATCAGATGGTTGCAGGACTCAACAAGTTGCTTGTACTGAATCAGAAGCATGATGCTCATCTGGATTTGGTTCAGTACAACATTGAGTCAGAACTTGCCAAGATATCCACAACTCTCTCTACCTTGGCAACTACCTTCTTGAGCTACATGAAGACATCCAATGAGAAGGTTGATGACATTGCTTCCGAGGTTGCCAGTCTGCACACTGTCCTGTTCTCACAATCTCAGACTCTGACAGCCCAGGACAAGGCCATCCAAGAACTCTCTGATGCTGTTGATACCCTACAATGGTCACATGACAAGAATGCAGAGCATCTGACAGATGTGGAGGAAATCTGCAAGACAAACAAAGAGTTTGGAATTAAGCTGATCAACAGTGGAAAGGACAGAGATCACAAGCTGACTCTCCTTGAAGCTACCACTAAGGATGTTCAATCTGCAGTCGATAAACAGAAAGAGCTGATAGAAGGGCTGGCCTCAGTGACTCAGACACTCCCAGGTGCCCTAGAAGCAATCAAAGAAAGCAATGCTACAGAATTCTCAAAAATTGGACTCCTACTTGGTGATCTTGTTGATGCCAAAAAGGGGGAAGATATCAGAGAACCTGTTAAAGCCATCAGAGCTGCAGAAGGCACAAGCACCAGAGCCCTGACCCCTATCTCTGGTAAGCCTGATCCTTCAATATATTTTGAAAGAGCCAGGCAGAAGCAGATTGCTGCTGGTATTCAAAGACCTCCTCCTCCTCGGTCCAAGAAAGGAAAGAAGACAGCCTCCACTTTCACTTTGGCCCAATGGCTCAACAGTGACTTGGCTAAACCTGATGCTACTCAATTCAGAGAGATGAAGAAGCATATGACTCCTATTCAACAAGAGAATCTCATTCTGGATAAAGATGGACTAATAATAATCAACCATGGTGGGTCAATGCAAGAAGCAGAAGACTGGTGGCGAATGAAAGTGCTCCCTGGCAAGGACCTGTCTGAAGCCATCAGAAACTATCTAGATTGTCAGCTTGCACCTGCCTGGTCAGAATGTCAGAATCCAAGAAACCTGGCCTCCATCAGAGCAAAGGTAAATGCTGATCTAAAGGAAATTGATGCAAAGGAAGTTCAACTAGAAGAGGAAGATTTCTAAACTCTATCCTATTGTTGCTTTAAATACTCTTCCTTAATAAGATAACCAGCTTGCCTCTATTTTGCATGGCAATTTCAAATTATTCCTACCTTGCACTCTGACTATTTATGCTCTGATACCTTGTGTTATTTCTTATCTTATTTATCTGATTGATTGTATCTTACTCTTACTATTCTCCTATGCCAAGTGCCCACCAAGTTTTTAAATGAAAGTTTATTTTCCTTTTTTTTTCTTATTTTCTTTATGGTGAAAGGCACTTCTCTGGAAATAGTTTAAGGGTTTTGGCATCATCAAAAAGGGGGAAATTGTAAGGAATAAATGTAATTAGATTTTGATGATGCTATAGGATTAGAAAGTCAGAGTACCCCCAATTTAGATTTCATGTATTAGAATTTTCAGTTGTAAGTACTAGTGTAGTCGACGATCAGAGTTGCTCTATTTTGGATCAGATCAGAAGTGCATCAGAACTGCTCTACCAGACTTTCTCTATGAGAACTGCTCCATCAGAGTTCTCTTACCAGAAGTCCATCAGAGTTGCACCTATGAGAGTTGCTGATAAACTTGAACATCTGATAGCCGATGAGAACTACAGATCAGAGGTACTCATCAGCGGACCTATCAGAGTCAGAGTCAGAGTTCAGTCAGAAGACCATCAGAACTCAACTCATCAAATAGCCATCAGAATCCAACATATCAGAAGAGCCTGATCAGAGCCCGACTAACACTTAGAAGATTTCAAGCAACATCCAACAGCTATGAATCCAACGAGTAAAAACATCCAACGGCTAGAAGACTGTGCATGAAAGGAAAGCATTTAATGCACATTAAATGAGCCTGATACGCTGAAGGATTGATTGCAAATGATTGACCAAGGAATCCGGGAAGATATATTTTAAAAATAGAAACCTTCCAAAAACGGCGGTCAAGTCAACTGTGCGCGCATTTAATGCAGTTGTCTCCTCCTCCAACGGGCAGACAACCTCCGTATATAAGCTACATACCGAAGAACTGAAAAACAACTTTGCTACAACTCTTACACATCATCATTCAAGCTCTCTTGAGATTCAGACTCTACAACCTTCAACAAGACAAGCTTACGTTGGGAAGATTCAAACTCCAAATCTCTCATCCCCAACAAACAAGCAAAGTTCATTCTGTTCTTCAACTCTTCAAGAACTTCATCAAACATCATTTGTAACGAAGCAAGTTGGAGGAAAAACTCTGTTTTTCAAAGGATCTTCTGAAAAGAAGGGCGTCCAAGTAACTGCAGTAGTGAAGTGGTGATACTTCCGGGAAGCTGAGTGAAAGGATCAGCCATCAGGACGTGGAATTGCATCCTGGGTGGCATCTAGGCTTGAAGAAGACGAGGAGTGCTTCTTAAGTGCTAGGAATTAGCTTTGTAACTGATCTACTTCAAAGCTAGTGGAACAGTGGACTAGAGGAACGAGTTGTTCCTTGAACCACTATAAAAATATCCGGTGTTATTTACTTTACTGCAATTTATATTTCTGCACTTAGGATAGTAACTGATTAACTCTAAGACTTGGAATCTGTGTTCAGCAGATCTTGTTTTCAGAGTTATCAGAAAGGCATTTGCCTTAGTGTTTCTGAGGCTACCCGGACAGATCAGAATCCGCTGCCAAGGCCAGTTCTGATATCAGAACCAGCCTTCCTCTGTCACCAGAATCAGACCTTCTCTGATAAGTCATTTTGGACTTAGAGAAAATTTGAAAAACCAATCAGTCTATTCACCCCCCCCCTCTAGACTGATTACCATATTAAACGGGACCAACAGATTGAAGCGGTGGTTGAATGGCGTGCACCTACCTCGGTCACAGAGGTAAGAAGTTTCTTGGGTCTAGCGGGATACTATAGGAGATTTGTTAAAGATTTCTCCAAGATAGCAAGACCGCTAACCAACCTGACAAAGAAGACAACCAAATTCCAATGGAATGAAGATTGTGCAGCAGCATTCCAAGAGTTGAAGAAAAGACTCACAACTGCGCCGGTCTTGACACTACCGTCAGGGACAGAGGGATTTGATATCTATAGTGATGCATCCAAGAAGGGGTTGGGGTGTGTGCTGATGCAGAATAGGAAAGTGGTGGCTTATGCATCAAGACAACTAAAGGTGCATGAAGTCAATTATCCTACCCATGACCTGGAGTTAGCTGCAGTAGTGTTTGCTTTGAAAATCTGGAGACATTACCTATACGAAGCACATTGTAAGATATACACTAACCACAAAAGCTTGAAGTACATATTCACTCAAAAAGAGCTTAACATGAGGCAAAGAAGATGGCTCGAGCTTATCAATGATTACGATCTAGAAATCCAATACCACGAGGGAAAAGCTAACGTGGTGGCGGATGCTTTGAGCCGGAAATCTGAGCACTCATGCCGAGCAACATGGATATTACCAGAAGAACTATTCCGAGACTTCCAAATATTGAGCTTGGAAGTAAAGCAATATGGCGAAGTAGATGGTGAAATACAGTTATGTACTATGACTGTTATACCATCTATCTTTGACGAAATCAAGAATGGACAACCGGGAGATGTAAAGCTCGAAAGAATCAAGGAAGGAATAAAAGATGGCGTCAACGGACCATTTAAGGTACATGAAGATGGGAGCATTCGATACAAGGGAAGGTGGTGTGTTCCACTGAAGTGTGCAAATATTAAAAAACAAATCATGGAGGAGGGACACAACACGCCCTACTCGGTACATCCCGGGGGAGACAAACTATACAAAGACCTCAAAAAGAACTTTTGGTGGCCGGGAATGAAGAAAGAAGTAGCTGAATTTGTATCCCGATGTTTGAACTGCCAAAAAGTCAAAGCGGAGAGATGCAAACCCAAGGGACTCGTGCAACCCTTGGAAGTACCAACATGGAAATGGGATTCAATCTCAATGGACTTTGTCGGGGGTTTACCTTTAACAAAGTCCGGGAAAGATAAAATTTGGGTGGTAGTGGATAGATTGACCAAAACTGCAAGGTTCATTCCTATGAATGAAACCTGGAGCATGGAGAAACTGGCCAAAGCCTATGTCAAATACGTGGTCAAACACCACGGAGTACCTCAAGACATCGTGTCAGACCGAGATTCACGATTCTTATCCCAATTTTGGAAAGAATTACAAACGGCTATGGGAACAAAATTGAAGTTAAGTACTGCTTTCCATCCAACCACGGACGGACAGACTGAAAGAACAATCCAAACATTAGAAGACATGTTGAGGGCATGTGTTCTTGATTTGCAAGGATCATGGGATGATCACCTAGACTTGATAGAGTTTTCGTACAATAACAGTTACCATGCTAGCATCAGAATGGCCCCATACGAAGCTCTATACGGTCAAAAGTGTAGGAGTCCCTTATGTTGGGGTGACATGGTCGATCAGGTGGTTCTAGGACCACAATACTTGCAAGATACTATTGAGAAAATCAAAGTTATCCAAGAAAGGATGAAGGCTGCCCAAGACCGACAGAAATCATATGCTGATCTTGGGAGGAAACCAACTGAATTCGAATTAGGGGAAAAAGTTCTACTCAAAGTCTCTCCTACAAGAGGTGTAATGAGGTTCGGGAAGAAAGGGAAACTAAGCCCGAGATTCATCGGACCCTATGACATCCTAGAGAAGGTGGGAAAAGTGGCATATCGATTAGCTCTACCCACGGAGTTGGATAAGGTACATAACGTCTTTCACGTATCACAATTAAAGAAGTATGTTCGAGATGAGTCACATATCATCAATCCGGAGGTAAGAAATCCTAGACTTAACATGAGCCAAACGTAAATTAAAAAGAATATAAGTTAACCGTTATATTATTAGGTGATTGAAATGGATGAGACATTATCCTACGAAGAAAAACCCATAGAGATTCTCGATACTAAGACCCGAGAGACAAGGAAGAAGACAGTTAAGATGGTAAAAGTACTTTGGTCAAACCATTTGACCGAGAATGCAACATGGGAGACAGAAGAGGATATGCGTAAACGGTATCCTAAACTTTTCAATTAAGGTAAATATTCGGTTACGAGGACGTAACCTTTCTTTTAGGGGGGCAGGTTGTAATATCTTATAAACCTGTAATACTTCATCTTCATACTCAATTCTCGTCTTAGTTTATGCTTCGAGGACGAAGCATTCTTTAAGGAGGATAGAATGTGATACCTTGAAAATTTGAAATAAAAATAAATAAACAAATCAGATAAGTTATATCTGATAAATCAAATGAAAGTAATATCAAAATATATTTTTATTATACTTGGTGTATAAAAATATACGCACACTACATGCAATAGAATTAAACACTTATGTGGCATCAGAAAAATAAAATAAAATAAAAATAAAAATAAACCAAATAAAATATATCTGTCAGAATAAATGGAAATAAATAAAATAATTACAAGTAACTTTATAAACATTAATGAAATAAAAGAAATATAATACAAATGAATAAACTATAAGTATATATAAGTAATATACTATATATATAACTACATATAAGTAATATATATATATAGTACGTACATGCATATATATATATACGAAGTATATACTACAACAAAAACACACACATATAAACACACACATATTAATACGGAGTACATATTTTGATAAGAAAATAATAGCAAAGATCTGGAGGACATCTTCACATGCCAGGAAACAAGCTTCATGACTTCACACCTACAATATTATGTGTATACATTGAATTATGAATAGGTATGTATCTTATCAAAATAATTCACAATAATTCACACAACTCGTCCAGCTCCATAAGGGTCGATCTACACCTATAAATACAGCTCCATTGACATTCTAAATCACTGCAAAACTGAAGAAAACGAGTAGAGCAAATATATATATACTTACTCGCCGGAAATGTACACATATATATATTTACGTAAGAAATTGCCTATAAGCAAGAGAGGAGGGTCGTGAGAGGTCTAGGAATACTTCCCAATAAATTCCAGACCGATTCGTAGTCACCGGAGCATCCTAGAGGTCGCCGGAGTTGCAAGCCGTGGAAACGGGTCTTCAGAAAAGACACGATTTTGCCGTAGATAGGGGTGGCGGAGCTTCTCCTCGACGTGAGGATCATTTTGCAACTTGAATCGTCGAAATCCGTTACCTGTAAGTAAAGTTATCGCTCGCCGGAGTTTTCGGGATTCCGGTCGCCGGAATCGCGACCTGGAGAAGAGCTGGGAAGGAGACAACCCAGTCTTCTTGGGCCGGGTCGCGAATTTGGGCCGGTTCGGCCCGTTTTCAATAAAAAATTAAAAATAAAATAGTAAATGAAATAAATAAAATCTGGAAAAATATAAATTAAATACCTGGTATAAAAATACTTATTCGGACCAAGAATAATTGAAAAATAATATTTGTAGCTATTTTTAATTGATTTAATTGTAATTGGGCCAAGTTGTACACATTTAGTAAATAATTAACTAAATGACGAAAATAATTATGAAATAAATATGGGAGCAAGCTAGATTAAATATATGACTAACTAGGACATTTGGGACCATTTATAATTAATAAAAATTATTATAATTAGCATATTTAATTGTAATTAAACCGGTTAATAGATATATGAAATTAAGTGAATAAATAAAGGAAATAATTCTAAAATAAATATCTGGACAACCTAGGTCAAGTATAGACCCAAACTATAGTATGGATGATTAGTAATTTATAAAAGTGATGATTAAGTTATTTAATTTAATTGAGCCATATAAACTAGTTAAGTAATTAAATAAGGAAATTTTGATATTAATGGTGAAATAAATAAATCACTAAGATTGAAAATAATGTTCTGGACTAAAAATGATGTTTGTAATAAAATAAGGAAAAGAAAATAAAGTTGGGTTATAAATGAATGACTATATTTGGACTTAATAAATAAATTATTGAATTAGTTGACTAATTAAATTAGCGTGATTAAATTAATAATTATTACCCTTGATTATTAGTGATTTGGACTCCATATAAATTATTAAACTATTTGAACTCATAAAAATTAGTTGATGAATATAAACAAATTAATTAAGTAATGTGTACTTAATAAGTTAGTTAATTGACTTCATTGGACTAGTTTAACTAAATCAATTAGTTTAATGGATAAATTAGTTAATTTATAGACTTGATAACATTTCTGGAATTTATATTAAAAATAGAAAATTAAAACGAGATTAGAATTTGATTATTGGACTTAATTGAATTAGATTAACGTATTTAGCTATATTGATATAATTAAACTTATTTATTTGATTTAGTTAGTTCAATTAAATTAGTGAGTCAAATAAATAAAACTGGAGGATTGGATAAATTAATTTAATTGGGTTAGTTAGTATAAATAAACTATTGAACTAATTAAAGTTGTTATTGAGATTAGATTATCATTAATGATTATTATTTCGAATTACTGCCTAAGTCAAGTTATTATTAAAAGGGTTATTAAATAAATTATATAAATTATGTAAACTGAATTTTGAACTGAAATTGATTATTTAAATTCGAAATAATGAAATTATTATGTAGTTAATATAATTGGACTAGTTATTTTTTTTTTTTTTTTTTTTTTTTTTTTTTTTTTTTTTTTTTAAAAAACCCAGTGGCAAACCATCACAGGATGAACTAGTTAACTATTTAACCAAACAAATTAAGAAAAACCGAGTTGGGTTATTATAATTAAAGAAAATAATAAGAATGAACTGGAAATAAACAGTTAGTAAGATTTATTAATTTAATATTTATATTTAAAGAAGGAATTATGAAGTTAAAGTAATTAAAGGTTGGATATAAAAGAAATAACGAAATAATAGAATAGTTATTGATTTAGAATTTTGATCAATATTAGAAGGAGAATTCAAGTGAAGATCAAGCTAGAGATTTTATTAAGGAGATTATCACAATTTAAGGTAAGTTCTATGTCAACCAAAATGTTTTGCCTCGTACTTATATGTATGCAATATTTGCACTATGTGAATTATTTATGAATTGGAAATTATATGTTTGACATGGATCGAATATTTTGACTATATGAATATTGGTGGACTATTACCTTTTATGGCTGATTAAATGTATATTCTTTTTATTAAAGAATATTGGTGGATTTATATTTATTACAAAGGATATTTTGAGAAAATGTGACAAGAATGATTTGGGGAAAACTTAAAGTTTTCATAATATATATTCTTACGTCTCGAGAGAAACACGAGGCGTGGGTGGTTAGGGCTACTACTACTTTTGGTGAAATTTATTTGGGTCGGTAACCAGTCCGGCAATGACATACTCCGGTAGACATCCCGGGCTTTTATTTGAGGATCAAAGATCCTTTGGTGGTCGTAGTAGTAGTTACCTAATTTACCCTTGGACAATGTCCCTTGTGAGTAGGTGGTAGAAAACATCCTGCCTACTTGGGTTTCTTACTACTCGGAGGACTTGGAATCCCTTTTAGAGGGTGTGCGCACTTAAGGTAGAAATTCAGCTTCCAATTGGTGGTCGGTGGGAGCCGGAATTCCGGGATGAGTCGTATATAACAACGACTCATTGGGCTCGAGGAATCTTGAGTTTCGCCCACTCTTAAAAGAATCTAAAGTATTACTTTTGAAGGAATTGAAGGATGATATTATCTATTGTGGAAATTATTTTATGACATTAAACCATTTTGGAAATATGAGAGACTACTTTTCGATGTATATACATATCCAAAAACCTATTTTCCAAATTATATTATTTTACGGGTTCGGGTGGAATCTTACTTAGCTCTAAAGCTAATTTTTGTCTCTTTTCTCTTTTTCTCTTTGCTCTATTGTACAGATGATTATGATTATGAAGATTGATGTACTTGCTGCCCGAGTGTTCCGCTAGTTGCACACGTTTGATTAATTATTGTTGTTTAAATTTGTAATCCATAAACTTGTTTTAAGTTTTATCTGATGGCTACTTGAATTAATGGTGGATAGCCTGTGCACTCAATCATGTATAGGTTGAGTGTGGCGGTGACACACCTGTTTTTCCATTAAAGACTTCCGCTGTACTCTAAATATGTTTTATAATAAAGATGTTTTCATTTCAAAATACTATTTTATTTTGGTGGGAAAAATGGGGGTGTTACACGGACTTAGAGAACAAAGTTGACGGGTTCGTCGGAAAATAACCTTTTAGAGGTTATTTGTGGTGATATGAGTTTTATGATGATAAAACCTTGTTATTAACTTGTATAAGGTATTTCAAGGACTTTCATGGAGTTGAAAGGGTCGCCGGAGTTGTCGCCGGAGTTCGTTGAAGTTTGTCGAAGTTTCACCTGAGCTCAATAAGAAAGGCTAGAACTCCATAAGCTTCATTAAGGTGAGAAGACGGCTATATGCTTTATAACTTTTGCGTGAGGCATGAGATTACCTAAATTAATCAAGAACATGTTTTATGAATTGATTAATGGTATTAAAGTATGTGCTATGTCATGTTAAAGAATATAACATAGTTGGAAAGCATGATTTGTAGGTTCGATTAGTGAAATTATTATAAGTTGATATGTATGATGTTCCTAGGACCCAAATAGGCATTTTTGGATTAAGGACGTCAAGGAGTACATGAATGTAAAATTTCACGTTAATCGGACCTCGTTTGGGCGGTCAAACGAGCGTTGACCGCCAAGTTAACTGTTATACCCGACCGGGTATTGGCAAATACCCGACCGGGTATTTACTGGAATTAGCCCCAGGGGCTACTGCCTCCTATACCCGACCGGGTATAGGTAGGTACTCGACCGGGTATTGGGTTATACACCCAAACGGTCGGTTTTGAATGAGTATAACGTGGGGCATTCGGGTGAGAACTGTCCACGTTGGTTATTAAGGATTGTTTTTTTTTTTTTGGATGAAATGTAAGTATATTAGAGAAATCATCCAAGATGACAAAAGTTCAGAATGTACAGACAAAAGGGAAACAAAAATGAAGGTTATCCAACATGGAAAACCCATTCCCAGCTAAAAGGCAGCACAACAACAGTACAAAAGCAACAACCATGCACACAGGGAAGTGTAGGCCGGGCACAAAAAAAAAGCAACAACAACATCAAAACATTACAAGTTCATGAGGATAAATACTATAAAGGATCTTATAAACAATGTATTGGATCCTAGCAAAAACATCATCTTCATTTGGGATTAAGCCATCAAAGCACGTAGCATTACGGGTCCTCCAAAGCCAATAGATGGAAAAGCAGAAAGCAATCCTAGCCGCCTTTGCTCTGATGCCAGATCCTTGCCTCTCCCGCTTGATCCATTTCATCGAACTGTGAAGCGTCCCCATTTCCCGGAGGAATGCCAATCCAAGCTTTAACTTTATGCCAAACTTTACCTGAAAAAAGACAAGCAAAGAATAGGTGTGGTACCGTTTCCGGACCACCCTTACAAAAAGGGCAAACATTAGCAACATCTAATCTATGCAAGTTATCAAGAGTAGCAAGTCGGTCCCGAAAGGCTAACCAAACCACGAAGGAGAATTTAGGAGGGATATAATTTTTCCATATGAAAGACATCCAACCATGAGGAACCCCTCTAATTCTAAGCAGGTTATACACCTTGGCCGAGGAGAGCTTGCCATTAATTTGGAAGCCATGAAGATGGTGAATAGCCTCCTGGATGTTATCAAAGTGAGACAATATTTGGTCTCTAATCAGAGCAATTTTCTTAATAAGTTGGGAGTCTCTTTTATGAGGTGTAAACTCCCAAACACCTCTTCCATTAAGATAGACCCCATGAATCCACCTAACCCAAAGGTTATCCTTTTTTGTATGGATATCCCATAGGGTTTTAGCCAGGAGGGCAGAGTTCCAGATGTGAGTATTATGAATCCCAAGACCACCTTCCTCTTTAGGGAGGCAAATGTCAGCCCAAGCCACCCTAGCAAATTTACACCCCCAAAGGAAGATGCGACAGATAGAAGTGATTCTATCCAGCACTGCCTTAGGTATAGGGAGAGCTTGAAGCCAGAAGGAATGGACACCCTGGATAACGGACTTGATGAGCTCAACTCTACCAGCATAAGAGAGTGATTTAGTATTCCAAGCACTGATATAATTAGTAATGGAATCTAAGAGAGGAGCATATTGTGCCACAGAAATCTTAAGAGGGGCCAGCGGAATGCCCAGATATTTAACAGGGAAACTCCCTTCCTTAAAGTCAATCATATCCAGAATATAGTTCAAGTCATGGTCAGCCAGGCCACCAAGAAAAATGTTGGATTTGTCAAAATTAACTTTAAGGCCGGAAGCATTACCAAACTCATCCAAAGTATCAATAAGGACTTTAATAGAGGGGTAATCCCCCCTAGAAAAGAGCATAAGATCATCAGCGTAGGCAACATGGGATATCTTTAATCTTCCACACTTAGGGTGGAATTTAAAGGAGGGTGACTTGGTCCTGTTGTGGAGCAGCCGAGAGAGGTACTCAAGACAAACAACAAAGAGGAGAGGGGACATAGGATCGCCTTGTCTAAGTCCCCTTCTTCCTTTGATATGCCCATGCAAAATTCCATTTATAGAAATGGAGAAGGAGGGAGTGGAGACACACTCCATAATCCAGGCAACAAACTTATTGGGAAAACCAATAGTGAGAAGGACCTCAGTCAGAAATTCCCAAGAGATAGTGTCATAAGCCTTCCTAAGATCCACTTTAATCATGGATCTAGGGGACATATGCTTACGAAAGTAACCCTTGACAAGTTCTTGGGCAAGATAGATGTTATCCATCATAAGCCTTCCATCAATGAACGCCCCTTGAGAGGGATCAATAAGCTCGGGTAAACAAGGTGTCATTCTAGAGGCAATGACCTTAGTAATGATCTTGTAGATGACATTAGTACAAGCAATGGGCCTAAAGTCATCCGCAGTAGGTGAGTGGGAAGTCTTGGGGATGAGAGCAATAACCGTATGGTTAATTTGTTTTAACAATTTCCCTGAGTTAAAGAAACCCCTCACTGCAAGAATAACATCATGGCCAACGATGTTCCAGTTATGTTTAAAGAAAGCCGAAGTATAGCCATCAGGGCCTGGGGCTTTGTTATCCCCAATATCAAAGAGAGCATCTTTGATTTCAGTATCCGAAATGGGAGCAATAAGATCATTAGCTTTGGTGATATCCAAACAGTTGCCAGAGAGGACAATGCTAGGGTCAATACTAACATTAGGAACCTGGGTACCAAAGAGATTAGTATAGAAACTAACAAACTCAATCGCAACTTGGTCAATAGACGTAGTAGAGGTCCCATCAGGGAGCTTGATAGCAGTAATAGAATTCTTGACAACATTTTTCCTCACAATGGAATGAAAATATTTGGTACCCCGGTCACTTTGAAATAAGTGATTAGCCTTTGCTTTTTGCCTATAGAAATCTTCCTCGGCTTTTTTGAGGTACAAGGCATTCTTTTTGGCCAACGCAAGCTCATGTTTAATGTCATCATCAAGAGGGGAAAGTAACAAAAGGGCATGAATCCTTTTGTACTCCTTCTTAGCCTCTTTGACTTTATCTGAGATGTGACCAAAAGCATTAAAGTTGAGCGCTTTAAGAGGCCTCTTAAGTCTCTTGAGTTTGCGAGTGAGCCTAAATTGAGGAGTACCATACATATCTTGGAACCAATGGTTGTTAAGAATGTTGGTAAAGGCCTCATGTTTAAGCCACATGTTGTAAAACTTGAAAGGCCGAGACCCAACAAGACTATTATGACCGATAGTAACAAGAGAGGCAACATGGTCAAAATCAACTTCCATATCAAAGAAGTGAGTAGTACAAGAGATGCCTTTGGTGCTCCAAATAGAGTTCATAAGAACCCTATCAAGTTTAGCCCATAAGGAACCTCTATTCCAAGTAAGGAATTCCCCGGTAGAAGGTGTATCCACAAGGTTAGATTGGACCTTAAAGTCATTGAGGTCTTGGATATAGTAAGCCGAAGGGGGGGTAGGCCCGATTCTTTCATTTGGGCTGCCCACACAATTGAAGTCACCCATAACAAGCCAAGGGCTATTAATGTTAGGTTCAAGACTAGAAATGTGTTCCCAAAGAGTTCTTCTTTCCACCACAGTATAAAGAGCATAGACAAAAGTCACAAAAAAGATATTTTGAGTAACTTTACAGGTGATCTCACAGTGGATGTATTGTTTATCCACCTCCAAAACATGAAGGCTAGCAAAAGCCGGGTTCCAAAGGATAGCAATTCTACCCCCCTCAATCTTGTCAAAGTTAGTCATAGATTGCCAATTAGGCCATCTAGTGATTCTAAGATTGTCAAAGTTGGGGGTGGACATCTTGGTTTCAAGTAAGCAACAAACATGTACATTGTTGGTACGCATAAAGGAAACAATAGAATTTTGTTTTGAGACCTTATTAAGGCCTCTAATATTCCAAGCGGACACAAACATAAAAGACTATGTTTCTTTCCTCCCCACGCTTTTGGCATTCTTCCCATCATATCTCGGCTTGGGCCTAACATATGCCCTCGGTTTGTATCTATCCAAGAAGAGGGAATAGACACGTTCCATGAAGATAGGGGAGACATAGTGACCATCCTCAAAGAGATACAAACCGGGTAAAGATTTCAAACATTCATTGGTGAAAGTAATGCCCATGCTCATGGCATTGGAAGTGTTCTCTAAATAATTGCCAAGTCTAGTCATGTCTTCCTTAATATCCCCTAGATGTTTAAGGTAGATATTCGGCCCTTTATCTTTGTGAAGATCAATTTGGACAATGACATCATCAAGATAGGCATCTCGGATGTCATTGACCATACGGATGGAGTTAGGCGTATGCCTCCTTTGATCCTTGAGCTTAAAGGCATTGCCTTGCAAACATCCATCTTCATAGTAGCGGTTTAGGTAATGTCTATAAACACCTTTCATAAAGGTAGGAGAGTAAACATAGCCTTTGATGTTAGGCTTAACCCTGGGCAGCCCTTCCAAACATGTTTTGGTGAACATCAAACCCGGTTCCTTATCATTCACCAACCGTAGGTTTTGGTTGAGTTTGATGGTAGGAACATCAACCTCATTTTGGTGTTTAGCTTTGATGATAGGGGGGAGGGTGTCCTCGGT